CGTTTGAGTTTTCCTTGCGTGTCCGCCGATCTAATTAACGCGTTATCAAAGTTTCCATCGTCTACTAAATCGGGCAGCTCCATCGCTACTGGGGTCCACACGTTGGGATTTTCGTCATCAGAATCAGCTACTCCAGGAACATCCAGGAGTATGTTATGGAGGCAGCCCAAGCACGAATTCAAGCCCCAGCTCACTCTTCATCATGCTCATTACGAAGCCTCAGCCTCAGCCTTTTCAAATTGAAAAATCTTCCCTTCAAAATTTCCAATACAGTGCTCGTTTCAAACCCGAATCTTACTGAGTTCCTTGTTATACCTTCCCTGTGGCGTTGTTAACTGACCCTTGCGAGGCTTTTTGAACACAGGAACGATGTTAGTATCTGGAGCAAATCCAGAGTCTGCTAGAAGGTACTGGTCGCCCTCAAACATCTCAGTTTTGCATGTCTGTAGGTCGCATTTAGCCATTAATCTTGCATCATGTGAACAACCAGCCCATCCTGTATAGAGATACCTAAAACTTTTTGTGATCATCACAAACCACGAGAGCTGCCATTTCATAGCAGCATTTGCGGCTGTAATAGTCTACACCCTCAAGTTCTTGTTTTGCTGCGAAAGGAAACAGAGTTCCATCGACAAAGCCGATATACTGTCGAAATCCCGAGATCTCCTCGATTCGAGCGCTAATTTCCTCGCGTTCCTGATTATCTGGCCACGCAACTGCCTGCTGTTCAGCGCCACCAGCGCGACTATACAGCAATCGGTCAACAGCTCGACTCCACCTTCAGAGCACAGAAAATGGCGTGCTAACTTTCCAATCGATGCACCATTGCCATCACACCCAAATCGATATTGCGCAACCGTGAGCTGGCACGAAGTTGGCGTCTGAGGAACGTTCGAGTTGTAAAAAAAAAAACTGGGTTGTCTTTAATCAAATCCACGATCTGTGTAAATTGAAACCTCGTGACGCGGAAATCTTGGGTGAATCGTCGCTCGTCAAGCTGGTTGAGCCAAAAGTCCAATGTGTCCGGGTCACGTGACACAGGATCTCGCTTGTTCAAATAACGGGATTTACTTATCATCCAGTATGCTTCTATGAACTGCATCAGCCTGTCATTATCGGGTTCCGGTGTTTCTAGCAAAGACATCTCATCGTCATCATCGAAAGGTCAAATATAACCTCAATGCTTTCACCAAGCGCCACAGATCGAATCCCACGCCTAAGCGCCCGCAAGGCGCGCTGTCGCCTCCAAATTTGTGGCATTTGCCACTGCCGTTATAGACTTGCTGCTGTGTGTCTGAGTCTTCGAGCTTAGCGATTTCAGCTGATATGCTTGCTCTGCTGCTAGCTGACTGCTCCACAACTTTAGGTACAGGAGTCCTTGCTCTCTTAAATCCCTAGTTATCGACCACCGTAAGGAAAATGCAGTTGCACTTCCTCTTATCGTTGCTGCTGGTGCAGTACGTGATCCTCGCGGTGACGTTGCAGCCGTGGTCTTTCTTGAAGCTACTTGAACCCTCTTGGCGGTGGCAACACTGCGGCTACTACAATACTTGACCCTCTTGGTGGTGATGGAGTTGCTGCAGTACTTGGCGACGGTGTCACTGCAGTACTTGACCCTCGCGGTGGTGCTGCCACGAGGTTACTTTGCGGGAACTACTCGCGGTGAAAGAGCTGTTGTTTCTACGAAGATCGCGCGAAGTCTCAAGTTTCGTTGCCGGCTCGGTTGTGCTCGAAAAAGAGGGCTCAAAGTTAATTGGAGAGCAACCAATCAGAGACGAGTTTTTTTTTGCCCCCATGCCATAATGTTCGCCAACTTTCTGCTTTGAAACTCCCTAATATAATCCAGGCATTAACGCGATCTGATCTGCCATAATCATGTTAAAGCTTTCGAAGCTATCAATACATACCGGTATCCCAATGAAACCGTACCTCATATCCATATGATAAGCTCGTTTGGTATGAAGATAAAGTCCACGCATGATATCGGACGAGTCTTGCTGTTCCGTTACAGCGAACATATTACAGTAAAAACCTGTCCTAACTAATAATCGCCGTTGTCAAGGCCGCCATCAGATACAGCTATAATATCAGATAGTGGAGGATGGTAATGTGGTGTAGCGATTTCTAAGTAATCGCTGAAGTGGCTACATTCAAGTTGCTCAAGCCTTGAACTCTCGGTCATGCGACAGGTGTTGACCACGATGCAAGATGACCAAGGACACATCACTACCGAACGTTCGTCGGGTCCGACTATGACCAAGATGTCACTCAAGTCGGGTGGTTCGTATCGGTGAAGCTGGATTCACATTCAGCTGTCAAGAAC